AGAGAGAGAGAGAGAGAGAGAGAGAGAGAGAGAGAGAGAGAAAGAAAGAAAGAAAGAAAGAAAGAAAGAAAGAAAGAAAGAAAGAGATTAACTTCCAACTCTTCCTAGCTCATACAAGATAAACACACTCCAGCCACAACTTTTTGCTTTTTCACGATAATATATACTGTAACTAGCCATTTCTATAACACTAAACCTTTCTAATCAACAAAACCAAGATCAAAGCTTTATTTTTTTCTTCACAAGCACAAATTCCAGAAGTGATATCCAAATAAGAACATATTTTCCTCTTTAAAGTAATCAAGTGAATCGTTCCTGCTTTATCTTCCTTGCTATGGAAATAACGTGTATTTCTATTTTCACCTAATTATCTTTATAAACTGTCACAAATTTTGATCACATGACAAACAGAGATGCTGCAATGGCCATAAGAGTGAAAAACAGTCATAAGTCATTTTTTTCCCAGTGCCTTTGTAACTTTGAACGGTCACTAAATGAACTGTTGTAAGTTGAGGGCTCCCTGTGTATGGGACAATTGAAGTTAGTATTCCATATCTGTCTCTCAGATACTCTCTCTGCTCAACTTTCATTCAAGTACTATTTCTTCAAGGCAGTGGTGGGATTCAAAATTTTTTACTACCGGTTCTGTGGGTGTGGCTTGGTGGGCGTGGCATGGCATGGCCTGGGGTGTGTGGCAAGGGAAGGATACTGTAAAATCTCCATTCCCACCCCACTCATGGGGGAAGGTTACTGCAAAATCCCATTCCCTCCCCACCCCACTAACCTGCTTTCCAGCTCCGTTCTCCTCTGCAGGGCAACCAAAGAAGACCCAACCAATCAGCTGAGACTCGGGAGGCAGAGAATAGATGGAGGCGGAGCCAGTCAGAGGTGGTATTTGCCAGTTCTCCGAACTACTCAAAATTTCCACTACCAGTTCTCCAGAACTGGCCAGAACCAGCAGAATACCACCTCTGCTTCAAGGACCAAAAGATATGGACCTTCTTAGCTCTTTGAGATCCATCGGATGTTAGTTAGATGCTGCCACTTAAGGAGCGTGGGTTAAAAAGGCAGAATTTAAAATGAATATTCCTCTGGTATTGATGTAAAGTAATTTAGACTAGCCATATGGCCAATCAAGCATAATAAAAGATAATGGGGTAGAGATCTGGGGGAAGACTTGAATCGATGCCAATCCATCTCAATCAAGTCAGCAGCTAAAATCGTCAATTTTCAGGAAGCAATAATTTCTGAGGGAGAAATAAGGTGACACTGAGGAAATGGCTACCGGAAGTGGAAGTACGGGGAGTCTTTGACTTAGGACCATTTGTTTAACAACCATCTGAAGTTACAACAATGCTGAAAAATTGACTGATGGCTGTTCTTCACGCTTCGCACAAATTTCGCATCCCTGGGGTCACATGGTCAAAGTCCAGTTGCTTGGCAACCAGCATGTATGATGGTTGCAGTGTTCCAGAATCATCCAATCGCCATTTGCACCCTTCTCAAAAGATTTTCTGACCACAAAGTCAATGTGGGACTTATTTCCTTTATGATCATGGTGAGTTACTTAATCATCATCCCCTTTTAACAATCCCATAATCTCTTGCAGAATGGAGTCTGAGCAACCAAATGGAGTTGAGTGTTTAATGGCTGGATGCCCTTCCTGTTGCCAATGCGGATTTTTGTTCGGCAGATATATTCTCAATTGTGCCCAGAGAGAGAGAAATACCTGCCTCTACCTAGGATCGAACTCCCAGCCTCCTGATTGTGAGGCAAGAGCTCCCCGCCTAGGCCACTGCACCACTCTACCGGTTCTCCAGACTGGTCAGAACCTGCTGAATACCACCTCTGGTTTGACCTTGCGGGGTGGATGGGGGCGCATGGCAGGGGTGGGCGTGGCCAGCTCAACATTACTCGTCCCTTGTCACGTCACTCATGGCAGGGGCGCCTATAGCAGCCCAAGAGCTGCCAAAACAGAGCTTAGGAGTGCCGTTTTTACTGGTAGAGGGTTGCAGAAGGTTGTTGCAGCTGTGCACAGCCCTCCCAAGCTCCGTTTTCGCTGGCAGAGGCACCGTGGGCTGTTTCCAAGGCGGTCCCACAGCCAGATCTAAGCACCCTGTGAGCCGGCCCATGGGCCTTGAATTAGACACCCCTACTTTAGAGTATTTTTTTTTTTTTAGAACATCTAAACCTGCCAGAAATAGTCCCTTTGCTGTGGAATTTTTTTTCAAATGGGTCTGGGAAATTGCATGAATCCAAAGATTGCCCCACCTACTGTCGGAGGTAATCACACACCCCACTCCTAGAAGAATGAAATATCCTAGGAAATATTAAAAAGGCAGAATATTTCCCCTAAAAAGAGTAGAAACTCAGAAGCAGAAACTCACCTCTGAAGCAGAAACTCATCCCACCTTTGCTAATGGGCCTAGGGCAGCCTATTGTACATAGCAAAGATCTCCAGATAGAGCCATAATAGGAATTGCCCAAAGCCCTTTCATTACATCATCATCCAGCCAGGTTCAACCAAGCCTAGGACTCAGGAAAGCCTGAGTGTTTTAATGGCCGGATGCCCTTCCTGTTGCCAATGTGGAGTTTTGTTCGGCAGATATATTCTCAATTGTGCCCTGAGAGGCTCCCATACAAGCTCAAGTTCAAATCCCAACAGAGGGCATACACACTTAGCATCTCAGCCCTTCCTTCTTTTCCTTCACCTTGAAGCATGTGATTGTCCTTCCTTCTTTGGGGCTCCAAGCCATGTGGTCCTGTCCACCATGAAACCATCTTTCCAAGCAGCCTCCATGTTTCCAGGGTCTTTCTTCCCCACTTGGAACTGACCCCAGAAGGATAATTCTTCCAACACTACCATAAAAAGTCATTTATCAATCAAAGACTTTCCCTACTACATCTGACTGTAGTCACCTCCATCCTGTCCCTGCATGAATTTCTGGCTTGAACTCCCCTGCTGATAGTTACTACCTGTTCCAATAGTCTTGAAAGGAAACCATAATTACTTTTCCAAAGATTGACTGTTTCTGCAAATAATTAAGTCAATGCAGATAACAGCTGTAATAAGCCACGGCATATTATCTGCAGGATGAGGGGACGGGGTGGCAAAGGGGAAATCTCTTCCTTCCTCTTCCTATCTTTCTCTTTTCAATTACTTTTATTTTCCATTCCCTGTGACCTCCCTCAAAATTGCCTAGGGCTAAAAATTTTCTTTTTTTTTTCTAATCGCTCCTGTTAATTTGACATTTTAATTTTGTTTCCAGTCACATTTAAACACATATATCTCAAGAGGACAGTTCCTGTGGGCTGTCAACTCTAATTAATGCCAGTTGGTCAACCATCATCACTGTTTCATTGGCACTAAATAGAGGTATTTCAGCACCACCTGACCGATCCCCCAAACCAACACTTTAGAAGGAGCTCATTTGTAGCATTACGTGTGGTTGTTGATTACACCGCGTATTTTTAAAGGGAAAACTTTGGCCGGCTGTTCTCGAAGAGCAAGGATCTTCAAACTTGGCAAGTTTAAGAGTTGTGGACTTCAACTCCCAGAATTCCTGAGCTAATGTGACTGGAGGAGGAATTCTGGGTGTTGAAGTCCACAAGTCTTAAAGCTGTCAAGTTTGAAGACCCCTGTTGAAGAACATACACAATTCTACACAGAGATTCACAGCTTTGTGTCATATACATTAGAATAGAGTCCTACCCCCTGCTTAGGCAGGAAAACCTGTACCCATGATGGCAAACCTATGGCACACATGCCACAGGTGGCACACAGAGCCATTTGTGCTGGCACGTGAGCTGAGGCAAATTTACCTCACTGTGCATGCGTACACCTCACAACTGATTTTCGGCTGGTTTGAGGCCTTTTTCGACCTCCCAAAGGCTTGAGGAAGGCTTCTGCAGGCTTTGCAGGCCGAAAACTAACCCTGTTTCATCATTTCCTGTTTTTCCGAAAATACCGGAAGTGATGAAACAGGGCTAGTTTTTGGCCTGCAAAGCCTGCAGAAGTCTTCCTGAAGCCTCTGGGAGGCCGAAAAAGGCCTCAAACCAGCCGAAAATCACCTGTGAGGTGCAGGTAAGGGGTCAACGGGGGTGGTTGGATGGGTGGGGATTGCACATGCTTGCGTAGGGGGCATGGGGAGGCGCATTGCCTTCTGGGTGCTGGCACGCAAGCGCGAGCGTGCAAGCGTGCGCACAATTTTTTGGCACAGGAGCCCAAAAAGGTTAGTCACCACTGCCCTATACCATTTCAGACAAATGGTTGTCCAAACTCTTCTTAAAAACTTACAATGTTGGAGCATTTACAACTTCTGGAGGCATGCCATTCCATTGGCTAATTATCCTCACTGTCAAGAAATTCCTCCTTCGTTCTAGGTTGCTTCTCGCCTTGATTAGTTTCCATCCATTGCTTCTTGTCCTGCTCTCAGGTGCTTTGGAGAATAGCTTGACTTCCTCTTCTTTGTGGCAGCCCCTGAGATATTGGAATGCTGCTATCATGTCATCCCTAGTCCTTCTTTTCATCAGACTAGCCATACCCAGTTCCAGCGATGGTTCTTTATATGTTTTATCCTCCAGTCCCCTAATCCTCTTTGTTGCTCTTCTCTGCACACTTTCTAGAGTCTCAACATCTTTTTTACATCATGGCGACCAAAACTGGATATGTGGTATTCCAAGTGTGGCCTTACCAAGGGATTATAATGGTATTAACACTTCACGTGATCTTGATTCTATCTCTCTGTTTATGCAGCCTAGAGCTCTGTTGGCTTTTTTGGCAGTTGCAGCACACTGCTGGCTCATATTTAAGTGATTGTCCACTAGGACTCCAAGATCCCTCTCCTAGTTACTACTGTTGAGCGAGGTACTACGTATACTGTACCTGTGTGTTTTGTGCACAGGTGTACACATATGTGCACATTAGTTTGGTGTTATTGTCAGGCACGAAGAATCACAACCACACATTAAGTTCCAGCTAAGCTGATTTATTGTTCATGCTTAAATCCAGTCAACTAGTGGTCAGCACTAGGTGCTAGATAAGTGTTAACAGAATTCAAGAGAAGTTAGACCTTAGACCCTTTGTGAGAACATAATGATTCTAGGCTGATTCCTCTCTTGATTCCAGACCCAGGTCTGCCCGTCCTATTCCCACAGTTATCGAAATAAAGTTTGAGCATCTTCCTCCCTTCTATCTTCTCAAATTCTTATCCCCTCAAATATCTAGGTTTGGCAAACCACTGTATGTTGGATTGATGATTTAAACCCGGCAATCTGGAGCATATAAAAACCATGGTTTGGGAGCTGGAGCAAGGCAGCAGTGGGTTGACAGCTTGCTCGCGGACTAATTTATCACATAAAATTGGAAGAAAAGGCACCGATGGAATGAAGAGAAACTAGGAATTGTTAGCCAAGCAGAAAAAAATATTTCTATTTCAAGGAAACTTTACTTTTAAAAAGAAACAAACTGAATTTAGCTGAAAAGTGAGATGGTTAAACTGGAGGGCAGCACAGGCCCTATATGGAATTGATTAGCACCTATTTGCTAAAAATAATGCGACTCTCTCTCTCCATTCCCCCAAGACAGAAGATTAAATGGTTTCCTGAAAAGGCATTCTACAGAGGATCAGTCTGGCAGAATGCCTACCGGTGCTGGATGGGATGTGGTGAGAGAGGGTGGGAGGAAAAGAGATTTAAACATTACTGGGTCTGAAACATTCCCCGTCACCCTTGGTAACTGCTCTCTGGGCTCTGGAATGCATTTTCTGCCAAAGCAAAAATGCACTGTACGAAGTTTTGCAGCAGGCATAGAAAAACGGGCCTACAGGTAGTTCTTAAACTTGTATTTATCACCTTTGACGAGCAGAGCAAGCAAACAGAATGCATACATACATAGCTAGTCGTCAACTTACGATGGTATGTTTTAGTAACCGTTCAAAGTTACAACAACATTGAAAAAGTGAGTTATGATTGTTTTTCATGTGTAACCCTGAAGCTGGCCTAACTGTGGCCATTTCCTTTTTGTAGCTTTTCTCTAAGGAGGTTTCTTTTTGCTTAGCTTCAGGGCCGACGCAGCCTAAAAGCAGGGATCTTCAAACTTGACAGTTTTAAGACTTTTGGACTTCAACTCCCAGAATTCCTCCTCCAGTCATGTTAGCTCAGGAATTCTGGGAGTTGAAGTCCACAACAGTGGTAGAATTCAGTTTTTTTTAACTACCGGGTCTGTGGGCGTGGCTTGGTGGGCGTGACAGGGGAAGGATATTGTAAAATCTCCAGTTAGAGGTGGTGTTTGCCGGGTCTCCGAACTACTCAAAATTTCCGCTACTGGTTCTCCAGAACTGATCAGAACCTGCTGAATAACACCTCTGGTCCCCAAGTCTTAAACTTGCCAAGTTTGAAGACCCTTGCCCTAAAGCAAGGGGCTTGCAGGGAGGTCTCGAGATAGCTGGGGTGTTGTAGCCAAAATAAAATTCTTTCCCCTGGGAAGCAAGGATGTTTCTGCAGGTGTTTGGAAGACGGAGACTGAGGTCACCTAGCAACTGGGCTGCATGCTGATCGGATCATATGACTGGGGACTCAGGGGTGGTGTGGGGAGTGACAACATTTTACTTTTAATTGGGAGTCAAACCAGCAGGAACTTAAGAGCTGGTTTTCCACCAAGGCTGTGCCAATTTGATATGTCCCAATAAAATGTTCTTTGAGGAATGTGCCTGCCTCAGAGTTTTCATTGAAGGGGATGTATTACTTGGAGCCTTGACACATCATGCTTATGACCATTGCTGCATCCCCACATTCACATGCTCAACATTCAGACACCTGGCACAAGTTGTAAGCCACTATTTTTTTAGGGAACTTCGAACTGTCACTCAGTAAACGGTTACAAATTGAGGACTACCTGTATTATGCTTCTCAATGGGAATCTTATTTCTGAGAGTCCTGCTGAGCCAATGAATAAGGACAGGCACAAAACTGCGGACTGCCTTGCCTCTACTGGTCCTACTTAGAGTGAGGGATCAGATTACCTGGTTCCACGAGGTATTCATAATCGTAGCCCAATTCTTTGGATGAAATGAAGAATTCCCCGTTCCTGTAGAGAGGAATGAACGGGACCATGAAATATCCCCGGTTGTGTCCAATAGGAGCGTTGGCCTCGGGGTAGGCCTGGAGCAGGGGTTTGTGTCTCCGGAGCCACTGTTCATAAATGCTGTGGGAGGAAAGTTTGATATGAATATTTCAACAAAGGAAACGACACTTTTCACATTTAAAATAGCCAGGAATAAATGTTCATGCGGTAGTTGCAATGGTGGGCTGCATCCGGTTTAAAAACCGGTTCTGTAAGCGCACGCAGCATTCCAAATACACCATTTTAAACCTCTACAGGGCAGCCCCGGTAAGTAAAACAGCTGAGGCATGCAAAATCTACTATGCCACCTGAATCAGCTGAGCTGAAAAAGGCAGAAACGTAGGACCAGATAGGGCAGGGGCAGGTGGGCGGGGCCAGCTGATTGTCAGAACTACTGGTTCATTAGAACCAATCCAAACCGGCCACAGCTCACCGCTGGGTAGTTGGTCCTGATTGATCCAGATAAACAAGAGATTAGATGCAGGCTTCCATGCAAACGGTGAAAAGACCTGCCTGGACAGTCCACCGGAAGACCAGAAGATCATTAGAAATTCAAAAAGTTTTGGGCACAGATGGTCCTTGACTTAACAACCTGTCAGCTAGCCTGCTGCTTGCCTGCCACAGAAAAGCGGGGAGGCATCAGTGGAGAATTTTTCATTGCAGCTTTGCAACTATGGCCTGGGCTTTGCTTATCTCTGCAAGTTCATTTCTTCTAGCTTTCTGATTGTACAGCTCAGAGGCACAGCTACGCTTCATGCTTTCTGCCTTGTTTCTGTGCGGTTCAGATGAGCCCATCCACATGTTCAATAAAAGGTGAAGGTTTCCTCCAACCAGTTGTGTCTAACTCTAGGGGACGCTGCTCATCTCTGTTTCTTAGCTGAAGGAGTCTGCATTGTCCAAAGACCCTTTCTGTAGTCATATGACCAGCATGACTATATGCTGAGGAACATGGAATGCAGTTAACTTCCCACTGAAGTGGTACCTATTTGTCTACTCGCATTTTCATGCTTTCGAACTGCTAGAAGGGCTGGAGTGAGGAAGGGGAATTCACCTCATTGTGCAGCACTTGGGTCTCGAACCCAGGAGGTCAACTTTACACCTGACAAGCTTGGCATCTTTAACTGCACCCCCTTCATATTTAATAAATACATGGAAAAATGGGTGATGCATGCTCATGTATTCTAACTTCCCATGAGTTTTGCACGTCAGTGCGGTCAATAGGTTCTTGCTTATATACAGCGGCTCAGGGCCATGTTTACATTTGCCCCAAAGTGAGTGGTAGCAATGAGGGATTCTAAATTTATCGCCTTCATTTAGCCAACGAGCAGGCAAAGGACCACAAGTGAATCTGTTCACAATAGGATTAGAGAGATCTAATAATAACTGATGCATTCTGATCTCACAGTTTAGGGGCAATTTGATGAACTGGAGCATAATCAGAGTATCATGCACAATTTCTTAAATTGTCAAAGATTTTAAAGAAATATCAAATAAGAGCTGGAGAGGGAATCAACGGAACCAGTCAATTTTATTATGTTTGGTGGACTGCCAAGAAGTACTGGGATCAGATATAAGAGAACAAAAGAGTTGGAAGGGACCTTGGAGGACTTCTAGTCCAACCCACTGCTCAAGTAGGAAACCCCCTACCATCCCAGATAAATGGCTGTCCAGTCTCCTCTTAAAAGCCTCCAGTGATGGAGCATTCACAACTTCTGGAGGCAAGCTGTTCCACTGGTTAATTTTTCTCACTGTTAAGAAATTTCTCCTTATTTCTAGGTTGGATCTCTCTTTGATTAGTTTCCATCCACCGGTTTTTGTCTTGCCTTCTGGTGTTTGGAAAATATGTTGACCTCTTCTTCTTTGGAGCAGCCCCTCAAATATTGGAAGACTGCTGTCATGTCAGCCCTAGTCCTTCTTCTCACTAGACATACCCAATTCCTGCAACATTTTTCGTATGTTTCAGCCCCCAGCCCCTTAATCATCTTTGTTGCTCTTCTCTGCACTCTTCCCAGAGTCTCAACAACATTTTTATGTCATGGTGACCAAAACTGGATGCAATACTCTAGGTGTGGTCTTACTAAGGCTTTATAGAGTTGTATTAGTACCTCACTTGATCTTAGCGTTGTCAAGGTTGAGAAAAATTACGGTATTTTAGACCCTTGATGAATTTCTAGCCTCGAAATGAGAGGGAAATTGTTAAACCCTGAACAGCATTCCTTGTTGTGTTATAGCAAATTAGTTACCTAGGGCACCGACTATGGAAATTACCATACCAGATTTTTAATGAGTAATTTGAATATCAAAGGGAATATTAATTACTGAAACAATGGCACGATTGTCTTGCGATTTCCAGCTCAGCTCATTTTTTTGCCAGACGGAGTTTGTCTCTAACTTCCATTTTGACTTTCCCTGCTCAGGGTCGCGATGGCTGGAGGAGGAATTGAATTCTTTACTGTGAGAATTTATGAATTTAGGGCACGTGCTTTTCATTTAGCGTAAAGTAATCCTATTAGCCAATATGGACTAAGGAAGTTTCTTTGCAGGAATGAAATTAATGTGCCAGGAAAACAAAATGAAATATATTTTAAAGTTCATCCATGATTAACTCCATAAAGCTTTGCAAAAGCTGCATAGAAATACCGTGTTTCTCCAACAATACGGCCTCCACCAATAGGAAGGCCCAGCATGATTTCTAGGCATGAGGTGAAATTAAGCCCCTCCCCCCAAATTTAGGCCTATTTAAACCATGCGTCCCCCCGCTATTTCTCACATCATTTGTTAGAACTACACGAGGTGAAGAGAAATGGGGGGGGGGGAGGGAAAGGGGGGTGGGGAGAAAACTTGCCTTTAGGAGTGCCCTGCAGGTAGCCTAGGCTAGAACACCCCAATAGCTGATAGAAGCTCCCCGAAGGCAGAGTCCCCAGCCGCTTTAGGGTGAAGCGTGGCTGCCTGTGTCCCCTCACCATTAGGCAGTCTCTTTTGGGCGATGGAAGCTCCCCAAGTGCAGTCATCAGCCACTTCGATCGGCCAGTAAAAGCGGCCTCGCAGCGAGGGGAATGTGTGTGTGCATTCGCCCCGAGGCCGCTTCTACCGGCTGATCGAAGTGGTTGATGACTGCACTTGGGGAGCTCCTATCGCCCGAAAGAGACTGCCTAATGGCAAGGGGACACAGGCAACCACGCTTCACCCCAAAGTGGCTGGGGACTCTGCCTTCAAGGGAGCTTTCATCGGCTGATAGAAGCGGCCTCGCAGCGAGGGGAATGTGTGTGTGCGTTCGCCCCAAGGCCGCTTCTACCGGCTGATCGAAGTGGCTGATGACTGCACTTGGGGAGCTTCCATCGCCCGAAAGAGACTGCCTAATGGCGAGGGGACACGGGCAGCCACACCTTGCCCCGAAGCGGCTGGGGACTCTGCCTTCAAGGGAGCTTTCGTCTGCCAAAAGAAGCAGCCTCGCGGCGAGGCAAATGTGTGTGTGCGTTCGCCCTGAGGCTGCTTCTACTGGCCGATCGAAGTGGCTGGTGACTGCACTTGGGGAGCTTCCATCGCCCGAAAGAGACTGCCTAATGGCGAGGGGACACAGGCAACCACGCCTCACCCCAAAGCGGCTGGGGACTCTGCCTTCAAGGGAGCTTTCATCGGCCGATAGAAGTGGCCTCGTGGCGAGGTACATGCGTATAGGCCGCTCTAGGTGGGGGAAGGAAATTAAGTCACCCCCGAAAAGACGGCCTAGCTGTTTTTTCGGGGGTCAAAAAAAAATAAGGCCCGGCCTTATTTTGTGAGAAACACGGTCGGTTGGATTTAATAACTGAAAATGATAGCGTGGGTTTTTTTAAAAAAAAATGTTGCAGGTCTTCTTATTACTCCTGGCAATGCAGTGAAGACTACTTAATGAAATGTGGGACTTTATATTTTATAGGTATCTCTCTACCCATCATGCTATTTCCATTGGGGGTAAGAATAAAGGAGGAAAAAGTAGTAAGCCAAAGCAATTAGAGATTATTTAAAGGGAAAAAAAATCTGATTTATGCCAACACCATTGACTATCGTTCTATATAACTTTCAGTATTTATAACCCTTCTTAGCTTCCATCACATCCATACTTATGCTTTGATCATTTCATTTTGTTCTTTAGAGCTTTCTAATTGAAGAATTAAATTAAATTTTAAAAGAAGTTAGAGCTGATTATCAACATCTTTTGTCATCTTTTATTCATGCCAGGAGAATAGACACAAAACTATTCAGTCACCTGGCAAAACCTTCTGTATCCTTTCCAAATTTGGCTTGGTTTTATTTTATTGTTTAGACTTTTCCCTGTTTCCTTCTCCACCATTTTTCCCAGCTGGTCCCTTCTGAGCTAGCAATATTTAGGTCACAAGAGAGAAATCTCCTATAGATTTCTATCTATAGATTATGGTCCTATATGAATTTCCTTCCTTCTCCCCACCTTCCAATCCCTTTTAGCATAGTGCAATATTAATGCAATATTGGGTTTTCAATTCAATTGTATAGAATGTGAAGGATGTGTGTGTTTTATTTTTATAGTTATGATGTACAATGAAGATGGCATTTAATTTCGTTGTACAAGGTGCAATACCAATAAAGTAAACTAAACTTCAAACTAAACGTGTTTTCCTTCCTTCCTTCCTTCCTTCCTTCCTTCCTTCCTTCCTTCCTTCCTTCCTTCCTTCCTTCCTTCCTTCCTTCCTTCCTTCCTTCCTTCTTTCCTTCCTTCCTTCCTTCCATTGGAAATTAAAACCCACCCCTCTCCTAGAAAAATGACATATTTTAGGATACACTAAAAAGGCAAAATATTTCCCCTAAAAGAGAATTAGAAACTCAGAGAGGCAGAAACACGCCCCCCCCCCCCCCCCGCATCTTTGCTAATGGACCATTAAGGTCTGGGCCAGTCTATTCTACATAACAAAGATCTCCAGATAGAACTATAGGAATTGCCTAAAGCCTTTTCATTACATCATCATCCAGCAAGACTCAACCAAACCTGGGACTCAGGACAGCCTACAGAGTTGCTCCTGCCTGGCCCCATGGGAGTCTGACAACCAATCAGAACTCAAATTCAAATC